AGTGAAGGGAACAGAACTTTTTCCAAAAAATCATGTTGGAAAAATTAGAAGAGTCTTCTACAACTTTAAATGCAGCTAAATAATGTCTGTAGAATGAGATAAAAATTCGGGTAGTTTTAGATCTAAGAATTAGGGTAACTGATTTTAACAGATACAAAGTAACAGGATGCAAATTGCTATAGTAAGCTCCTCACCTTTTTACTGGCCAGAATTCAATTTGACTAATGTTTTTGGATGTTCTTTTTAAAGTTGCCTCCTACAATTAATATTTAAGTTTTCTTTGTTAAGTGCCAGAAAATCTTTTAAAAGTACGGAGTTTTCTTTTAAACTTCTGTTCCTGCAAATGTGGTGTAAGGGTTAAGCCTCTGACGAGAGAAAGAAAGGCACCCGAGCCAATAAGAACCTGTGCTGGTGATGTACTGCTTTCTAGTTCTGATTCATTGGCTGCCCAGGGTTTGTCATTCTATCCCCGGCGTCAGCAAGCAGCGTGGGTCGGGTTTTCTGTGGTCTAGCTAGCTAAACTGGATTTTGGTGGCCTGCACGTGCAGTTTCAATTAACTGTAGCTCATTTCTAGCTCTTCACAGAAGCAGCTGTAACTATTCTGATTATCCTCCAGCTTTTGAAAAACCCTTGGTTTCTTTAACCTTACTGGAGGTCGTTGGAGGTTCTCAGTGACAGAATCACGTGACTAACATGTGCAAATATACAATGTGGAATCCCAGCAGCTACAGAGCGAAAACCTGCCAGAAACTCAGCATGTGCCCCGTGCGAGAATCAGTTGCACTCGCACGTGAGTGGATGATAGGGCACGTATATTTTTGTTCTTCGGGACTCAAGGTGTGTGTCGTGGCACCTGCATGAGCCTCCTAGGTTCACTGGGGAAGGATGGCACCGGAGGAATGGGGCCTTGAGGGCTGGGAGCTGGCTGCTACCTGGACCGATTTCGCTTTAAAAGGGACCGCGACTGCTCCCGAGCGAAAACACAAAGCTCCGGACTGGTCCTCGACGCTGCTAGGCAGCGTCTTCACTGTGGGGTTTATATTTTCAGGCAGACGGAAGAGCCTAGGTCCGAGGCGTAGCTTCCAAGTCTCGGCTCCACCAACAGCCAGATTGAGAGGTTCTCAATCCACGGGGCTCGGAACAGTAGCGTCCACCCTGTCCAGACCCTGGCGCMGGAGCGTGAAAGTCCCGGTCCTGGCTCTGATCCCGGATTCTGACGCTGCCTTCGTCCCCAACCTGGGGCGCCGGCAGCGAAGCCGAGGCGGCGAACGAAGCTGGGTAGGGCAGTGACGTCATCTGCGGTCGCCCCTCCCCCTCCTGGCGGCCCTCGCCGCAGTTCCTGCCCTACGACATCCGGGTCTCTCCAGCTGCTTTGCCGAGCCGCAGCTGTAGCGGCGGAGGAGMCGGCGGGGCGGAGCGGACGAGGGAGTGGGGGAGGGGCGGCGCCGTCGTGAGCGCGCCTGCGCGGGGCCGCGCTAGAGGCGGCGGCGGCGCTAGGGACGGGAGCGCGCGCAGGAGCTAGAGAGCAGTGGTCTCCGCGCCGGCCCGGTCCGCAGCTTCGGGTGCTCCGGCGGCTGCAGCTCCGGAACGGGTGGTTGGGGAGGGGGGTGGGGGGACGCCAGGCAGGTGGGGTGCGAAAGCAATGAATCCTCGGCTTTTCCTCCTTCTTCTCCGGGACCCGCTCTCTGCCTCCCGCTCCAACGCCCGGATGATCTGAACCGCGAGGGCGCCGAGAGCCGGGGGCCCGGACGCAGCCCGGCTCCTCCCCTCCTCCGCCCCCTCCCCGGCCCGCCGCCGCCGCCGCCGCCGTGACCCCCTCCTCGCCCCTTCCCCGGCCGCAGTTGCTGCCGTCGCCGCTGCCTTGGCCGACCAGAGACCTGCCCGCCCGCGGCTGCTCCGGGTAAGCGCGGCGCTCGGGCCGCGGGCGGGCGGGCGGGCGGCGCGGGCCTGCGCGGCCGCGGCGGCGGACAGGCCTGGGGCCTGTAAACAAGCCGGGCGTCTGCCCGGGCGCTCCCGGGAGGAGACGCGACAACTCCACCCCCTGGCCCGGCCTCTTCCCCGGCGGCGGGCGGCGAGGGGTTAAGGCTCCGCGAGGGCGGCGGCGGGAGGCGGGGGCGGAGTGTTTGTGGCGGCGGCGCGGGGAGGGGGCGCGACCCTCTGGCCCTCGGCGACCGGGCGGGGTGCTTGTGGCAGCGACGCGGGCGAGAGCTTCGGGCTGGCCTGACCCGGGAGCTGCCGCGGGACTTTTCCCGACCTGCGAGGGAGTGGCGGGCGTCCCACCCGCTCCCGGTGTTCGGGGCTCCAACCCTCAGGGGGTGGGGGTGGCGCTAAGCTTCCTTTGAACCGGACTTGAGCCTCAAAACACCAGATTTGGACAATTTGCTTCTGGTTTTACTGGGGGCAGGGCTGAGAGTGAGGCTTCTTCCGAACTCAAGTCAATGATGCCTTCCAGTTCATTCATTATTAAGGCATTGAGCAAGTGAAGTAAAATTCTACTGATTTCTTATCCTTTTAGCCATGTAAATTGGGTAAAAGTTCTTGATGTTAGTTGATTGAAGTAGGGTTCTGTTCTGCTTGTACATTTTAAAGAAACTTGTAGCTTTTTCTTGAAAGACAGCTGGTTGTAGAGTCCTCTAGTAACCACAGTTTTAGATAGGTTTTGAAAATTTCATCACTCAAGACATTTTTCTCCTCTCCTTTAGAGATCCACAAAGGTCACATATTTGAGTTGTCCAAGCAAAGGAATCTGTGTGCCACCCTCACCCCAAGTTTCCTGCTAATTGGAATAATGGGACAAATGAGTTTTAAAACGTTATTATAAAAGTGTGAAAGACAGTTATTGTTTGCACAGAATAAATGATTTTCACATTATTAAAAAAGTAAGAAATTTTAAAATAATTGTTCTGAAAGAAAAACCATACTCTTTAAACTTCCAGTGCTCCCAAGAATCAAGCAGGACTGGTCCCCCCAATTCCCTTTATCTCTACACTTCAGCTTCATACTTTTTTCTTTCTACATATTGGTCTTTTTCCAAAGACTCTATTTCTGTAATTCCTTATTTTACAGAATACAAMACTGAAACGAGGGAGTTAATAACCCACTCCACTCCCTTTTTTCTAATCTCAGATGTTACCTTTACTGACTTAATGTTTCCTTTGCCAGTAAATAATTTGAAGCACAAAGTAACATTTCTTTCCTGATGTTATAGTTATGTTCTTACAGTTTTCTCCCCGCCCCCCTCTATCTGGTTAAACAGTCCTGTAGGGATGATTACTTTAAACCTTGAAGTTTACAACAAAACCATATTATTGAAACTATAATGAAATGCAGGTGGAAATTGCTTAAAACTTTTTTATTTGATATTTTTTAAGCATTTGTACATTAATGAAGTAATTATGGAAGTGATATATATGTATACACACACACACACACACACACCTCTGTATATGTTTGAGAAATTGACTACTAACCGGAGTCATCAAATTTTTACATGGCTTGAATCTTTTATATATTTTTACATGGATTGTATCATTTTATATTTTAGTATGAAGGGCTGAACTGAAGATGGTAATTATAGTATAACCTGTTGATGGGCTCACTGCACTAGGAGACAAAAATTGTTTAGTCATGGCTGTGCTCCAAAATACGCGTCCATGGACAGGTCCTTTAACCTTTTGAATCTCAATTTCCAAGTCAGTAAAGTAAAAGGGGTAGATTATATTGTCACATGTACTATCCAATTTTTTTGACATTGTGTGTCTCTTCAAATACCTTTAAAATAAATATCTGGCATATGCCAGACACTTAGATGTTTCAGCATTATAAAGCTGATTTAAGGTTCTGTTTTATTTAAAAGAAAAAATTGGGGGGGGGCAGCTGGGGTTGTGACTCAGTGGTAGAGCACTTGCCTAGCAAGTGTGAGGCCCTGGGTTCTATCCTCAGCACTTCATAAAAATAAATAAAATAAAGATGATGTGTCCATCTACAACTAAAAAATAAATTAATTAAAAAATGAAAAAGTTGGTGATTGTTCTTTAGGAAAACTATTCCTGTAGGTAGCCTTCATTGATTTTTCTGTTGGGATTGAGAAATCTGGATAAATTTACAGTAGGAAGGAAAGTGGAGATTCCAGTGGAGACAAAGTGTGATTGAGACAACTGGTTTGAACAAGCTCAGGACCCTTGGTAGATAGAAGGGAAGGGTATTATAAGAACACTTTGTGCTGAGCCCAATGGAGCAGACCTGTAGTTGGAGGCTAAGAGCKGAAGATCGCCAGCCTCAGCACCAGTGAGGTGCTAAGCAACTCAGTGACACCCTGTCTCTAAATAAAATACAAAATAGGACTGGGGATGTAGCTTAGTGGTGGAGTGCCACTGAGTTTAGTCCCCCCAAAAAACAAGAGCACATTGTGAAGGTTTTTCTGTCAGTTTAAGCTGGGTCTTGATTTTGTTTTGTTAAATTCTGTTTTAAAAACTGTTCTTTAATATCTCATTTTAACCCCCCCCCCAAAGAAATCTATAGATAGCATCTCATTTCTATCATACTGTAAATATTGCTGAGCAGATATTAAATACCTATATATTCTTTGAATTTGTTCAGACTATGCCAAGGCTGTTATTCTGGTTTAACTATGAATATTTGAACTAAAGACTAACAGGCCTACAGGGAGCTTGTTACCTGAAATGCTCACCTATGAGAGACAGATTAATTGTTTAAGGTGTTAGTGTGTGCTGATGTAAAAATAATTAATTTTAAGGTGATATTTTGATGTTCTCTTCCAATGATTATCTACTTCCTGGGCAGGGGACTCTCATCATCTTTTTTTTTTTTTTCTTTTTGGTACAGGGATTGAACTCCGGAGCACTGGGCCACTGAGCCACATCCCCAGGCCATTATGTATTTTATTTAGAGACTGAGTCTCCCTGCGTTGCTTAGTGCTTCACCATTGCTGAGCCTGGCTTTGAACCCTCCATCCTCCTGTCTCAGCCTCCCAAAATGCTGGGATTACAGGCATGTGCACCGCACCCAGTGACTCTTGTCATTTTTAATCACATCAGGAGATAGTCTTTTAAAAAAGAAAAGCAGCCCAAGTAGACTTTTGGAGGAGTTACACAAGAAGATAAAATAAGGTGTGGCCCTGTGAAATATGTGGATCTTTGGAGAGGGGAGGGCATGTGAGGCAACTAGATAAAAGCTGTTTTCTTATTTCATGAGTAGTAATTTCATGTCACAATAACAAAGATATTTTAAAATGTAGTTACTTCCTTTATTTTTTAATTTTTTAAAATTTATTTTAAAAAATTTTTTAGTTATACATGGATACAATATCTTAGTTTATTTATTTTCATGTGGTGCTGAGGATGGAACCCGGTGCCTCACAGGTGCAAGGCAAGCGCTCTGCTACTGAGCCACAATCCCAGCCCCAGTTACTTCCTTTATTATTTTGCTATTGTTAGCCAGGATATGTAAATTTTTCTGACCTGTGATTAGTAGCTACCTTTACATGAAAGTACTTTTGGTTAACCTTTATCTAAATCAAAAGGTTGATTCTTATTTTTTCTTCCTTTAGTATCTAATGCACTTCATATTATATAAGGATTTGTACTTCATTATTATTCTCCAGAATATATTCTTTGATGATTTTACTCTTTACCATCCTAGTTATCTATGTACCACCTAGATATTCTCTTTACCTAGCTTTTCTTCTACTAAGGCATGTAGGAAGAGTAACARTTGAGGGGAGTGAGTTCTGTATACCTTTATCTAAAATGTAATAAACTTCATAATTTTTGTAGGAAACTGAAAAGTACAGATTAATTTGTATTGATAAATTAGACTGTTGATACTGTGTTTATTTTATTTTTTTGGTACCAGGGATTGAACCCATGGGTGCTTAACCACAGCCACATCCCCACCCTTTTTTGTTTTTTTATTTTGAGACAGGACCTTGCTAAGTTTCTTAGAGCCTCATTAAATTGCTGAGGCTGGTTTTTGAATTTGCAATCCTCCTACCTAGGCCTCTTGAATTGCTGGGATTACAAGTGTGCACCACYATGCCTGGTGATACTGTGTTTATAATAATAGAGGTATTATAAGTATTCCTTGAGTGTATAATAAAAGAGGGAGATTGAGTTTTTATAATTCTAAATGTGTTGATTTCTAATCCATTGATCAAAGTGTATATAGTATTCATATTTAGGATATGAATTGAAAATTATTATTTTTATGGATAATGCAGTATGAATTAAAATCTTATGAAACTGAACTTCTATTAGGTATAGAAGAAAGTAAATGAAAGTACTTTATTGACTATTTGTGTTAGGCTTTAATTTTTCACCGTTAATTTCTATTTTAAATCCAGTCAGCCCTTCATCTTTTTGGGTTTTGCATCCATGGATTCAACCAGCCCTTCATCTCTTTGGGTTTTGCATCCATGGAGAGTTCATTGAATATTTTTAAAAAGCCAGGTGTGGTGGTGCACGCTTGTAATCTCTGTAGCTAGAGAGAGAGGGTAAGGCAGGAGGATCAGTTCAAAGTTGAGTTCAAAGCCAGCCTCAGCAACTTAGTGAGGCCCTAAGCAACTCAAGTGATCTCCTGTCTTTTAATGAAATACAGAAAAGGACTGGGRATGTGGTTCAGTGATTGAGTGCCCCTGGGTTCAATTCCTGGTACTGAAAAACAAAAACAAAACAACCCCCCCCCCAAAAAAAAAAAAAAAAAAACGATGACTACAACCTTGCATCTCTGCTCAGCGTGTACAATATGAGGATCTGCAAATTTTGGTATTTGTGGGGAGTCTTGGAACCAATTCCACCATGGATACCAAGAAAGGACTGAATAGACAGAAAAAACCTAAATAACATGCCAGCATTAGTTCTGTGTAATTAAAAAAAAAAATTCCTGWGTGGATTTTTTTCCAATTATATGAGCCTTCTTGCTTCTGGGAACCAGAATTTAAAAAGCTGAATGTTAACACTGATTCATAGATTCCTAGAGTTAAAATGAGTATAACTGTATATACTTATAAGTATATATAGTTGTCTTCTAATGCAAGAATCCCTTCTAAGACATTCAGAAAAAAATGTAAGACATCAAATTCATTTATCATTTCTAGAGTGTCAGAAGTTAACAGAAGCAAAAAGTTTGGTTTCTTCAGCATCCACTGTTCAGATTGGGGAATCAATAATAATTCTCAAATGTTTGATATCTTTAATGAATGATATGGGGCAGTGTTTCTGAATAGATGTAATTAATAAAGCCACATTGAAGGCCCCATAAAGCAGGSAGGTAGAGCTAGCCCTTTGAAAGAGACAGAACTGAGTTGAGTTCCTGCTTTGCCACTTCCTAGTAGGGTGGGTGTTCTTGGGTAAGCCCCTTCTCTCCAAGCTACAGTTTCCTTACCTGTCAAATGGGAATTGGCTTCTCATAAGGTTRTCTGGAAGATTCAGTGAAAAGATTATATAAGGTGCTTGACACATTTTATACCATGAAGAACGTGCCACTGCTATTGAGTACATGAAATCCTGAGATACTTGGGGGAGTAGAGGCAGACTGGATGTAAAAAGTTGTCTTGTAGTTTTAGCAGTAAGCCTTGAAGTCAACTGAGAAGAGATTGTTTAGAGAATTTAGAACAAGTATTGGGTATATAGAGATGTCATGTGAATAGACTGAAAGTTAAGAGGTAATTGCAGAGAGTTGAGTATGAGTATTTTTATAAGTTGGAAATAATTCATGGGTTTGGAGTTAATAGTTAGGTGTGAATAGATGGTTAAATTGTGGGTAAAGAGTAACAATATAAAGCAAAGGTGAATGTTAAGACTAGAATGGTCAAAGTAGGGAAGTATTTGGTAGGGAAGTAGGTTGGTATTTTGAAGAGGAGTTACCTTTCATGGTTAGAAAGGAGCAAGAATATATCATTGCTACAGAAAAAGATGTTGGAAACTAAATCATTCTGATTAACTCAGTCTGACTTTTTTAATTATTATTTTTAGTGAAGTCTTCATAGAAGGCTTAATTAAGGCTTTTTTTGTGGGTCCTGGGTTATTTAAAGTTGAAAAATTGTCTCTTTCCTGCTAGCATCCTATACTGTACCCCTCTCTGTTTTCCATTCTATAAACATCACAAAATTCTTTGAAAAATAGTGTTTTTTGCATTTCTCTTTTCAGTATATACTTCAGTGTTTTGCTTTTAGAATAAAGATCAGACTTCTTGTTTTTGCCTTTGTTACTTTCTATGATTGTATCTCAGGCATGATCTATTTCAGCCAAACTGGTATACTTGTCATCTCTGAAACACATCCTTTTCTTTTTTCTTCAAGGATCTTTGCTCTTGCTGATTTGCAGTTTGAAATTCTCCTTCTCCAGCTATTGTTTGTTTTGTTTTGCTTTTGTTGTTGTTTGCAGCACTGGGGTTTGAACCCAGGCTGGGGAGCATACTAGACAAGTGCTCTACCACTGAGCTACATTTCAGCCCACTTCCTTTTTTTCTTTCCTTCCTTCCTTCCTTCCTTCCTTCCTTCCTTCCTTCCTTCCTTCCTTCCTTCCTTCAAAGCTTGTTTCTGATATTTCCTCCTCCACAGTCTTCCCGGTTCACCAATGTTTCTGCTCTCCTTTCTCTGTATTTCTATAACAATGTCTACATTATTTATATGGCTTTAGTCATCATATATTTTACTTCTAAGTATCTTAATTTCAAGTCTTAATTTTATAATTGTGTTCAGTTAATTCTGTAGGGAAAATATAGTAAATTATTATTATATCTACAGCCTAGCACAATGTTTTGTGGATGGTATGCATTAAAATATTTGGTAAGAATTAAATAAAATCTACCTGGGAGTGGAAATTACCACTGTAGAAGGAGGTTGTAGAAGTAGTTACCAGCTTTCTGATTGCAGAATTTCTTTCTGACTCTATTCCTATATAGTATTTTGGATGCACTTGAATATTTAAGTGTGAAGATTACATAAATATGAAGTATGCCAGGCACAGTGGCACATGCCTGTAATCCCAGCAGCTGGGGAGGCCGAGACGGGCGAGTTCAAAGCCAGCCTCAGCAATGGTGAGGCCCTAAGCAATTCAGTGAGACCCTGTCTCTAAATAAAATAGAAAATAGGGCTGGGGACCCTGGTACAAAAAAAAGAGAAAGCAAATGAAATATGGYAGAGTTCTCATGTTGGTATAGGAGATTAGGTTGACTGCTTCTGTTTTTATAGATTTAACTTTGAACTTCCTACATTTTGACTTTGAGGGTTAATTGGGCATTTATAATCACATATCTCTTCAGAGTATTTTACATTTGCAGATATTATTATGAAGAAATATTGTCTTTTAAACCAGAAAGAGGAATTGTGGGATCACAAGAATCAGACAATATATTAGTTACAGAAGAGGCTAACTACCAACTGATTAAACAGAGGGCTAACATAAATAGTCTGTATTCATATAAATCTCTAAATTAAACTTTAAACCTCATCAAAATGTTGAACTATTTCTAGTATTTAGAAAATATATAGTAAAATTACCCTTATTTTTTTTAAAATTATTTTTTAGTTGTAGGTGGACACAATACCTTTATTTTATTTTTATGTGGTGCTGAGAATCAAACCCAGTGCCTCACGCATGCTAGTTGAATGCTCTACCTCTGAGCCCCAGCCCAACCATCCCTTATTGTTGTTTTTTTTTTAAGTATTTATTTTTTTAGTTTTTTAGGTGGACACAATGTCTTTAATTCATTTTTATGTGGTGCTGAGAATTGAACCCAGTGCATCATACATGCTAAGCAAGTGCRCTACCACTGAGCCACAACCTCAGCTCCTGTTTTTTTTTTTTAACAATATTAATTGAATACTATCTATCTTTAACCTTATTTATTTATTTGTGGTGCTGAGGATTGAATCCAGGCCCTTGCACATGCGAGGTGAGTGCTCTACCACTGAACCATAACCCTAGCCCCCTTATTGGGTTTTTAAATGAATATTTCCTTATAGTTAGTGACTGCTTAGATCCATCTATTAAGAGTATGATGCTCATGAGACCAGAATAATGAATTTGATTGTGTTTCTCTTATGTTTTTTTTAACCTTGACATTAGTAACAATGAGCATTTATTTGCAGGGACTATTTTAAGACATT